CACAAACCGATCGACAGACTCATCGCCTGAAAAAAAAAAGCAAACGCGCTTGTTTTCAGGCAAAGAGTCAGGCGATCGACCCGACCCGACCCCATCCGCAATGGACACCCGGTATTACCCACACCACCACAAACAGTGGGTGGGGCTCTCAAGATACGCTGGGAGGAGGAACAGGGTTCCTGCCATGAACTCCCTACCAAAATTCAAGAAGATTTCAAAGAGAAATTTTTTTAATTCAAGGAAATTTCAAGGTGGTTTCAAGAAGAAATTTTTAAAATTCAAGGAGATTTGGCCAAGAAATTCACGCCATTTTCAACAGCGCGCCAAGAGCAATCCAACAAAAAAATGTGTTCATGTCAAGAAGTTTTCAGGGAGAGTATTTCCTTGAATACAAATTCCAACTAGTTTCCAAGGACTCCTTGAATTCCGGGAGGCTGCAGGAGCCTAGGAAGAAGAGGGGGTAGCCACAAAAGAACTATCTGACTCCAGGGTGGTGGCCCATACGCCACATCATTTCTCTCTCCCACGTATTATTTCCGAGTACCGAGCCATCCGAACTGAACACCCGCCTATTGGTCAACCTCCTCAGTACAAATCTTGAGGTTAGTCTCGCCAAAAAAATATTTAAAAGTTATACAATAGACCCTGGCCGCTTGGGCAAAAATTTCATACATTGGACGATGATAAAAATAACAATGATGATGATGATACTTTACAGCAAAATGAAAAAAACCAAAAACAATCATAAGCTAGATGGAGATGACAATCATCAATGGAGCTTCTCCTGAAATACTTTTCATTATTATCATCAAATCTTGTAATATGTTGCACCTATAAATATCCAACTGTACAAATATGAAAACCAAAAAAGTGTACAGTTATTTTAATGCTTCTTGTTAGGCATGCAGAGAAATGTTTGCGGGGGGTGGGGGTGGCGGTGGCAGTTCATGCCCCTCCATGAGTCCCCGTCCACAATGAGCACAGTGCAGACAAAAAATATTCTGTACACAATTCACCCTAACTTATTAGCTTATACATGTGTGAACAACCTTTGGAAACAACGACTGGGTGGGGGGGGGGGGGGGGGAAGTGGTCTTGTACAGATCGAGATAATAAATCTTTGAACAAATAGCCTGGTTTGAACGCTTCTCTATTTACACGAGAGAAAAAAAAGTGAATAAAAAAAGATACCAAAAAAAAAAATAATTAATTAAAACAAGTTATTACGGGATGTTCAGCAACACCCTTGTTTTTTGCTCCCTTTGCGAAATCAGTGTAACAACGTGAACCATCATCATCATCATACACCATGGGTGAGAGTACACCACACCTACAGACGCACATACACATACACATAAACACACACACACATTGCAAGATGTGGGAATCAAGGGGTCCCGACACCGTGGAAGAACAAACAGCAAGCAAAGCCCGGCCGATCAGCAGGCTGGCTATCCTTTACTTTTTAGTTTTAGTAGACGTTTTACGGCGCTCCCAACTGCATACAGTCATATGAGCGCCAGAAAAATAGAAGCGTTACAAGTTTTTCAGTTTAGTTTTAGTATGAGTTTTACGGCACTCGCAACTGCAAATAAAAAAGAAGAAAGAGGGAGAAAGGGACGATAGATGTTTGATAGGAAAGAAGGAGCATACCACACCAGAGCACCCGCCAACCACCCACGCCGGCTGGCTGGCTGGCTGTCCATCCACGGGTCGGGCACACAACAACTGCATAAACTCTGTAATACTGCAGCATGGGATACCTCCGAATCCATCAAACAAAGTGCACAAAAAAATATAGTTTTGAGGGGGGCACATCGTGTGGATATATAGCAATCAATTGAAAATTCTTCCAAGACAATCAATATTCTTATGCCACAAAGATCTGTAATACAATAATTCAAAAGCATATTTAGACACTTATAAAGTACCATCACTCTAAAAAAAAAATTTTAAAGGAGGGGACCATAATTCATTGAAAAGAAAAGATATAAAAGGGAATCATTATCATTAAGGAAAAAAATAAAATAAAATAAAAAAGAACCTTCATTCTAAAAAAACACAATAATAAAACCATTATTTTCAAAAGAAAAGAATAATCAAACATAAATTATAGAGTGCCATTACTCTAAAAGGACATAAAACTAATAGAGAACCATCACTCTAAAAAAATTTATTAATTATAAAAAATAACCAGTAATAAATTGAAGAGTAGAATCATTCTACAAAAGAAAAAACAAATCCCAGACAAAACTGACAAATAGAAAGCAGCAACACTCTAAAAAGCAAAGTACAAAAACACAAAACAAACAAAAAAAGTACCCCAAAACAAACAAAAAGTACAAAGTTCAATTGCATGGTCTGAAAGAGCAAACAGTAGGCAGACAAACAACAGAATCCCCACCCCTTTAACTGGCAAAACTTTTTTTAAAAAGTCTTTTAAACACAAAACCAACAAACAAACAAACACACACACATATAACTGATTCTTCTTTCCTCCTGGTCAGCCTCGCTCTGAGCTGATAAGATATATTATTATTCTTCACTGAGCTGTTCCGTTGGATGTCTGGATACTTACAGATGTCGGGTGGTGAAGTATGCTTCGTTCTGTGTACATATGTATACAATATACAAAATGTCGATGGAATTTGTAAACCGGACTCTTCACTATTGAACAAAACCAAAAAAAAAAAAAAAAAATTAAAAGAAAAAAAAGAACAAACCTTGAAATGACGACAATATCTATACCTTGGATAAGGTAAGATTAACATCTGCATACAGCGTTTGATCTAAGCTTTCAAGGGCACGGTCATTAGAAACAACACGCTCTGATAATACTACTACTGATGGTTGGATGAGGGCTGCGAGACAGCAGAAAAAAAAAGGAGAGGTGAGACGTCCATATGTGAATGGGAACATAGAAGCCAAAGAAAATAGAGTATGCTAATGGCATATAAAAGTCGGGTCGTATTTGCTCAAACAAAAGTACTGCTTTTTCAGACCTACTGCTCTCAATAGCACCAGTGTGGACAATAGCGCCCCCACCCCCCAAAAAAAAATTTTTTTTTTTTCGCGTGCGTGTGGTAGTACCACCGATACTATTGTGAGGTGGGTTTTTTTTTCCTACTACAAAAAGGACCCACCCAAAAGTACACCAGCCTCATTCATCTGTCCCAAAACATGACCATAGCAGGTTTAAATCACCCTGTCCTAATACTACACAGCCGTGACTACTAAACCAAGCTCACTTCACCCTCTCCAACACAAGACCACCTTGCAGCAAACAGTAACTTCTAAATCAGAGAACAGTGAGCACAGCATTCAGCAATAGGCTATAAACAAACCACCCAAAAAAAAAAAAGAAATAAGGAAAGACGAGACCATCAGTACAGTTTTCTGTTCACACCTAAAAAAGTTGAAGATGAAAGTGCTCCATATATAAGATCTCTCACAACCAACGCATAGTATACAGGCAACTCATCATGTGTCAGTCAGTGGGTCCATGTCTCTGCGAAGCAAACTCTGCAAACACTTTTCTTTCAATCCCTTGCAAAAAAAATCTAAATGACAATCCCACGACATAAATTGTCACCTTAACCTCGGAAGGATCACAAGAACATTTTTAAAAATAGTCAAAATTACACAAAAGATTTACAAACGCACTACCATCATGACATTTAACGCATCTGCATTCTAAAATAAAAACTTTTCTTTGAAAGAGTAGCTCTTTTTCTCAGATTCAGCTTCTTTCAATTAGCAGGGAAAAGCCTAGAGGCCAAGCACAGAGCATAACAAAGACACACACACACACACACACACAAACACAGACCCATACACACACAAACCACCTTAAGTGGGATTGCTTTCACTGTCAACATAGTATCAATTTGATCTCCACCCCCCCCAAAAAAAATCTACTCTATGTACATGATTGGCAAGGGGGGAAAAAATCAGACATGACAAATTGCAATGCAGTTCTCAGAACACCAATACTTTTGCACAAAAAATTCATTTTACAAATACATTTTACATGATATAATCATATATGCAATAGTCCACATTTTTCTCTGAAAACAATACAGAGCAATACCCACATCAGCACACAGTACGCTGGTCACTGCCAGCACGCTAGCCCAACACAGAGAGATAGAGACAGATGGATATAATACAAAAACACAAGAAGCACCCCCCCCCCTCTCTCTCTCTCTCTCCCTCTCTCTCTCTCTCTCTCTCTCTCCCCCCCTCTCTCTCTCTCTCTCCCTTTAACATCTCATGCCTACCAAAATATTCATACAAAAACAATTTAGCTTGATTCTTCAATTTACAATTCAACAAATTTTCAAATCATGTAAACACCAGATCCGCAAGTCAACACTGGACATAACCCCTCTCTAGACGCTCGTTCATGATAAATCATACATGCTGGTGTGGAAAAAAATAAAAACCGGAGACCTAAAGGACCGTGTGGGTCCATCAAACAGTGGTGGAACTAGTCTACACAAGCCCAGGGCCCACCCAAATTGACAACAGGAAGAACGACACGTGAGACACACAGGCAGACAGACACTCACACAGGGATCTGTACACAACTAGAAAAGAGCTACGAACACATGTGCAATACAATGTACAACATACAAATATACACACAAGATTTGAGTCCTTTGAATATCTCCACCGTTACCTTACAGCAATGTACAATATCTTAGAAACTCTTCGTAAAATCCATAATCCATTTAATGACATGAAACCGTGGGGATGGTGGGGCAGAATGACTGTACAACAAACTTACACTTCATTGTCTGGGCAAAAAAATACAAAACTTTTTACCTTGGGCATTACGCTACTTCTCAATGCAAAATACAAGATTTTCAGTATACTAAACGCACTGAGAACAAGCAAAGAAAATAAAGTAATACAGTTTACATTTCATTATAAACTTCACAGAATGTCTAAAAGCTCTCATCTTCCAGCACACCCACAGAAATCTCGCACATTCTTTCATTATTTGCATAGCTACTGCTCTCTGACGACATTCACACCATGGAGACATACATACTATACTGTCTTGCTCGACAAAAACATTGCGACACGGTAGAGAATACACAGTCTACCACAGGTCGTCACGTCGGGAACACAAAGTTATTTTCATTTCTTACGCGGGGGGGGGGAGTGATAGTTGCAGCTATCATACAAAACGATGAGAGGGGGGTCGTAGTATACACAAAAACAAACTGTTTAACATCAAACAAAAGCACAACGAAACAGCAAATTTCAAGAAGCATACACATGCAAAACCACTTTTTAAAAACCAACCGCAGCCGCAGTCCGTATTTTTGTCCTTCCACTGGAGGGTCTGGCCGCACCATAGGTTCACAGACACAGAACTACTTCAAGCCTCGGACAAACGTGCTACCACTAAACACAGATAGCAGCCAGCCACCAAGATGGCTCTGAACCACGTCAGTTCAACACGTGTGAAACTCCACATGGATCCCCCACAGCTTTTCTCTCACCTCCAAAGACAGAGAAAAAAAAAAATTTCATAAAAACCCCAACACAATAATAAAAGTTCACGAAATACCTCCAATGGAAACCGTAAATCAAGCCTTTCCAGCGTGGATGGACGTCAAAAAGCATATCCCCTCGACGACAGCGCCATCTTTCAAAGCCGCTCGCCTTTGTCCGTGTGAGCATGCCTGAGCGCGCCAGTGTATAAGGTCTAACAAGTACTTAGCTTGGCATACATTCATTGAGGCTCAGTCGACCACCGTTGATGGGCGTGGCCAGCAGACAGCACATCCCTCCCTCCCTTCATCTCGTCCGGGGAGAGGGCGTGTGTGCGTGCCCGCATTTGTGTGTTGTACGTGTGTGTGTGTGTGTGTCCTCGTTACGTCCTACCTCCTCCCTGCTGCTGCTACTACATGGCCCCGTTGGCTGAGATGCCAATGTTGCCCATCTCCGGGTTGTTCTTCATGAAGAACTTCTCCAGCTTGGCCAGGATGTGCTTGCCGTACGTGTACTTGCGCAGCGTGGCGATGTGCGGCCGGATCTTGTGCATCAGCACCTTGCGCTGCGGCGGCTCGGCCACGTCGATCATCTTCTGCACCACGTAGTTGGCAAACTGGTCCTTCATCATCGAGTACAGCGCAGAGTGGTGGCTGAGACAGACACAAAGATACAGACATTTCATTGTCGGAATCACAGGACACCACTGTGGGTTTAGTTTTAATTACAGTATTGCGACACAAGCAACACAAATAGGTCCTCAAGTGCCCAAGATTAGAGGTGCTACTAAAGAGAGACATTCAAAGAAAAGAACAAGAGAACGTTTTTAAGAAGAGGTTTTACAGCGCTCGCAACAGCACAAGGTCATATGAACGCCAGAAAATTAGAGGAGTTCCAAAAGAGTAATAAACATAAAAAAGAAGGAGGGGAGATACGGACAATAGATGTTTGATAGGAAAGAAGAAGCGAACCACACCAGAGCACCTGCCAATCACCCACTACAATGAGTCTTCACTATGCAATAGCAAAGAGCCATGTCATTACACCACATACAATGGGGGGGGGGGGTGTAAGAAGGCGTCCAAGAAGATTGAAAAAGATCAAGAGTTAGGGATATGAAAGGTTGTATGGGCATCAGAAGTAACTACACTTACATTAGTAGCCAGCCTTAATTACATGAGAGGGAGAAGGAGTTTGAGCAGGAGATATGAGAAGCACATAAGCACAATTACAGTTAGAGTCAGGGAAAGAGTAGACAGACAGATGAAGAGAAAAAAAGATAGGACTTACTAGAGGCACCTTTAACCATCACCTTCTGTTCAAACAATAAAAATATGCTTGAACAAAGTTGAGTTCACCAAATGTCTCTGCCTCTTAGTGCAGCCACAGCTATGAGAGAGCTGTGCTACGTGGTAAAACAGACGTTACTGTCCACAGTGTAAACGATGGAGGCTAGGATGAGGACACTAGTCCAAAGCTGGACTGTGGGGGGAAGTGTTACAAAGTTCGTTTTGGAGCGCATGAAATCTGCAGCTTGCACTGTAATTTTCCCTGAGGCCGAGAATGTATCCGAGTGTTCAAGGGTACTGGGGTAATAAAAACTGTAAAGCATGAACATGCTCTAAATTAATATAATCATTATTAAATCAAATACTACCTGGAGTCACCAAAAGCTTTTTTTAAAATGACATCTCAGACATTTTATCCTATGAGTTCATCACATCTTCTGAACATGTTATCTCCATACACCATCACCACCACCCCCCACCCCACACATATGAAAGCAAATGGGGAAACAAAGTGTGAGGACGGCAAATAAAAACCCATGAAAATGTTCATTAATTATCAGGGCACCGGCCACAAGAAAATATAAATATAAAAAAGTCCAATGACAGGAGTCAATGTCTCTGCCTCTTAGTGCAGCCACAGCTATGAGAGAGCTGTGCTACGTGGTAAAACAGACGTTACTGTCCACAGTGTAAACGATGGAGGCTAGGATGAGGACACTAGTCCAAAGCTGGACTGTGGGAAAGTGGTTCAAGTTTCAAGACAAATGATTCCTTTTATTTATCAACACAATAAGGTCATATAAGTGCCGAAGGGTAGAGGCGTTATAAGAGAGTAACATGCACACAAAAAAGGAGAGATCAAGACGATAGAAGTCCGATGGGAAAGAAGGAGCAGACCCCACCCAAGCACTCATAAACCACCCGCCAAAAGGGTACTGTACAAACCATAGCTTGTTTTCTGTGCAGAAGGACAAAAACTTACCCATAACCATCGCTCATGTTGCACACCTCCTCAATGAGCAAGGCCCGCTCCTGTCGCGACGAGTGAGACACGCACTTCTCCACAACATTGCTGCAACAGAAGGAAACACGGTGAGTTAAGACATCGCAACAGTTGGTACCATCTCAGGGTGGTTGTTTTGAATAAACAAAATCATATCGACAGAGTAACATTCACTTGACACTGAATTATTTTTCAGTTTTGGTAGAGGTTTTACGGCGCTCGCAACTGCGTTAAGGTCATATGAGCGCTAGAAGATTAGAGGTGTTACAAGAGAGTAACAAACATAAAAAAGAAGGGGAGATAAGGATGACAGATGTTTAATAGGACAGAAGTAGCAAACCACAATAGAGCCCCTGCTAACCACCCACACAAGAGTTAGATACCGCAACAATTTGTACCATCCCAGGGCGGCTGATTTTGAGTAAAGCACACAAAAGAAAGACGACAAATCCCATAGCAAATGTCTCTGCCTCTTAGTGCAGCCACAGCTATGAGAGAGCTGTGCTACGTGGTAAAACAGACGTTACTGTCCACAGTGTAAACGATGGAGGCTAGGATGAGGACACTAGTCCAAAGCTGGACTGTGGGAAAATGTCACAAATCTCCAAATAAACATTGTTAGTTCTATTTCACAATATAAGAGTATCATAGGTAATGTTCAGCAAGGGGTTATTGACATTCCAATTTACTCCCTCAACCCCAAACCCTTTGATGTTTTAAATAAGAACTTGAAAAAAAAAAAAAAATTCAATTATCTGAATGCACTAAAAATAACGATGAATAAGCACACCGTCAGCACCATTCTACAATAGTCCAAATCTATTTCTGGAGGTAACAAAAGAAAGCCTATATTTGAAGAAAAATATCAAGGAGCATCCTACAATACTGTTTCATTATTTCCTTCCCAGTTTTTGTCTAATCAAAGTCAGTGCTCAAAAGTTGGGCTTCTTTTTTCAAAAGTATGTCAGAGCAAGAAAAAAAAAACTGTGACGGATGCCCTTCTGGAATGATGCTGAGGTATGGCTGCCAACTCTTCAATCCCCCCCAACAAACAGCTGGTCAGGTTTAGTGGGAATTTGTAAACTTTACCATTCTGTTTAGAAGAATCTACGATGGGCTACACCCGAGAACTACAAAGTAACAAAAACCCAAATGAGTCAATGTCTCTGCCTCTTAGTGCAGCCACAGCTATGAGAGAGCTGTGCTACGTGGTAAAACAGACGTTACTGTCCACAGTGTAAACGATGGAGGCTAGGATGAGGACACTAGTCCAAAGCTGGACTGTGGGCAGATGTCACAAATTTCGGAATACACATGTTCGTCCTATTGCAATCAAAATAATAACTGCGAAAGAGCATACTGTCAGCATTGTTCCACAAAAGCACATTTCTGGAGGTAACCAAAGAAAGCCTATATTTGAAGAAAAATATCAAGGAGCACCCTACAATACTGTTCCATTAAACTTTCTTCCAAGTTTTTTATTGGGAAAAAAATGAGTGTCAAAATCAGGGCTCTGAGTTGGTATTCTTTTCTTTTCTTTTTTCAAAAAGTTTCTCAGAGCTAAAAAAAAATATTTTTTAAAAAAATACAAATTTTTTTAAATGACGGACGCCCTTCTGAGATGACTGAGGCAAGTCTGCCAACCTTTCAGTCCACCCTTGTAAATTTGTAAAGGAGAATTTTAGTTTTAGTAGAGGTTTTACGGCGCTCGCAACTGCATAAGATCATATGAGCGCCAGAAGATTAGGGGTGTTACAAGAGAGTAACAAACATAAAAAAGAAGAGGAGATAAGGACGATAGATGTTTGAAAGCGGAATGCTTTTGCCAACTATGAACATTTTGTTCAGAAGAATCTACGATGGGCTACACCAGAGAACTACAAAGAAACACAAAACACCAAAGAAAATGTCTCTGCCTCTTAGTGCAGCCACAGCTATGAGAGAGCTGTGCTACGTGGTAAAACAGACATTACTGTCCACAGTGTAAACGATGGAGGCTAGGATGAGGACACTAGTCCAAAGCTGGACTGTGGGCAGATGTCACAAATTTCACAACACACATGTTAGTTCTATTGCAATAAAAATAATAACGCTGAAAAAGCATATCATCAAAAGCATTCTAAAACAGCACAAATCTATTTCTGGAGGTAACCAAAGAAAGTCTATATCTGAAGAAAAATATCAAAGGGCGTCCTACAATACTGTTTCATTATTTCCTTCCCAGTTTCTTTATTAGAAAATAATGAGTGCCAAAATCAGGGCTCTGAATTGGGCTTCTTTTTTCAAAAAATTTTCTCAGAACTAAATTAAATGACGATGCCATTTTGGAATGACGCTGAGGCAAAGACTGCCAACTTTTCAAACCCCCAAAAACCCAGCAAGTCAAGATAGTGGCCACTAACCAAGTAACCCCCCTCCTAAGCCTTCAGGCTCACTTTTCTGCATTCATTCGCCTCAAATATTCAAAATAGAGAATACAGCAAATGATCTCTCCATTTGAAATATGGGCGTAGTTCTATTTATCATTCCCAAATACGGTCTTTAAGTCTGTAAAAATTGCAATGGAGACTACTGCAAAATAAAGTAAGCAGCATGTAGTCAACATTTTAAGCTTTCTTTAGGTGTCTCAGTTGTGTAAAAAGTGTTGAAAATGAGAAAGTTTTGGCAAAACAGGCCGTCACTTTTCAGTCCACCCTTGTAAATTCATAAAGGGGAATGCTTTTGTTAACTATCAGCAGTTTGTTTAGAAGAATCTACAATGGGCTACTCCTGAGAACTACAAAGAAACACAAACCACTAAAGAAAATGTCTCTGCCTCTTAGTGCAGCCACAGCTATGAGAGAGCTGTGCTACGTGGTAAAACAGACGTTACTGTCCACAGTGTAAACGATGGAGGCTAGGATGAGGACACTAGTCCAAAGCTGGACTGTGGGGGGGAAGTGTTACAAATTTCAGAATACACGTGTTCGTTCAATGGCACTAAAAATAACGCTGAAAGAGCATAACGACTGTAAGCACCATTCCACAAAAGCACAACTCATCAGTTTCAGGAGGTAACGAGAGAAAGCCTATATTTGAAGTAAAATATCACGGAGAATCCTACAACACTGTTTATTATTTCCTTCCTAGTTTTTTATTGGAAAATAATGAGTGTCAAAGTCAGGGCTCTAAATTGGGCTTCTTTTCTTTTTTTTTTAAAGTTTCTCAGAGCTCAAAAAAATGACAGATGCCCTTCTGAGATGACACTGAAGCATGGCAGTAGTAGAAAATAAAGTTATGGCAAAACAGGCAACCACTTTTCAGTCCACCCTTGTAAATTCATAAAGGGGAATGCTTTCGTTAACTATCAGCAGTTTGTTTAGAAGAATCTACAATGGGCTACTCCTGAGAGCTACAAAGAAACACAAAACAACAAAAGAAAATGTCTCTGCCTCTTAGTGCAGCCACAGCTATGAGAGAGCTGTGCTACGTGGTAAAACAGACGTTGCTGTCCACAGTGTAAACGATGGAGGCTAGGATGAGGACACTAGTCCAAAGCTGGACTGTGGGGGCATGTTACAAAATTGAAGGCTTACTAAATATCTGTAGGCTTTAACGAAAGCCATCTTTCGGAAAGTTAAATGTAACAATCGGATACAGAGAATAAAAACAGCTACATATGCAGTGTGATAAGAAATGAAAAAAAGAAGAAGAACCAACAACTAACAGCAGCATAAAGGACAGACAGGCGGACAGACAGGCGGACAGACAGGCAGACAGACACACACCCAACCTCACCCAGCTCTGACTGACTAACTGACTAACTGACCAACCACCCACAACCAAACCAGCCCACACACGTAAGACTGACCTGGCATACTTGTGCTAGCTGAGCATGAGCACCTTGCCACACACACACACACACACACACACACACACGGGGGACCCACCTGGCAAACTTTGTGCTGCTGAGCAAGAGCACCTTGCTACACACAGGCACGCATGCGCTCGTGCAGAGTGTCTGTGCATGCGCCACACACACACAGGGGAGACTCACCTGGCAAACTTGTGCTGGCTGAGCATGAGCACCTTGCCGCGGATGGTGTTGACGATCTTGCTCTTGTGCTCCATGTGGCCGTGCTCCAGCACGTGCTGGATGACGTAGTTGCCGTACTGGTCCTGCACCAGCCGCTCCGTGTGCTCGTGAAGCTCCTCCAGCACGGGGCCCGTCTGTTCCGGCGTGCAGTGCTCCAGGATGCGCTGGATCACGCGGCAGCCGTACGGGTGCGTCGACAGGTTGTACACCTACATGCACACAAGGACACAAAGAGGGACAAAAGCATTAGGGAAATGCCACACGCACATACACATACACAAGGAGACATTTTTTATTAGTAAGAATATTGTGGCACTTGCAACGCAACAAGGTCATATAAGTGCCGAAGACAAGAGGATTTACAAGAGAGTAACAAACACAAAAAAGGAGGAAAGATGATAAGGACGATAGATGTTTGAAAGGAAAATACCACACGCACATACACACACACACAAGGAGACCAAAAGAAAGATATACATATTTAAATTAGAATTTAATACAAACACACATAAATGACACAAAAAGAAAGACATATTAGGAATAAACCTACACACACACAAAGGACATGAGAGAGATACACATTAGGAAGGTACCACACACACACAAAGGACGCAGAAAGGGACATGCATTAGGAATATTATCTCTCTCACACAAACACACAACTACATATCATTGATCTGGTGTTATCTTCCCAGCAAAACAACAAACTTCCAATTTGTAGATCCTCTGAGTTTACTTCTTTCTGATATTGTCTTTTAGTTCTAATAGTCTTTATTTTGACATGCATCATGTCTAATTAATATAATAAAAGCTTGGTTCACACTGGGTCTTTGGAAACTCCCATCCATCTAATATTCATCCATCCATCCATCCATATATTCATCTATCTATCTGAACTCACCTGTCCTTTGAAAGCGTCAATGATGAACTGCAGGAACTTGGGGTCAACGCACTCAATACACTTCTGCACCACGTGGTTGCCGTTCTGATCCTTGACACACTTGAGCACGTGGCCGTCCAGCTCTTTGACAATCTCCACCTGACACAAGTAAACAAAAAATTAACCACCATAAGTTTTAGTTTTAGCAAGAGTTTTAAGCACTCACAATACAATACCATTATGTATAGGAGTCGAATATTAAAGGTGTTACAAGACAGTAACAAAACAACAACAAAAAAAAACCCAAAAAAAAAGAGGATGGACGCAGACAGACTACTGGAAAAAATGTAAAGAAAATATGTATGACCTATTAGTATTAGTAGTGCCCTCCAACAACCTGCATTTAACTACTCAACTCATCAAACCTTGGTGGTGTAGGTGTTGGCGGTAATGGGAGTTATTTTCTTTTTCAATTTTAAAAACATACAAAATATTTCCCCGCCTTTCTGGCTTTCTGGTGGAACTCTCTCCTCTAACTAAAAAGACTTGCTGCCATATAACACTGTCTCATTTATTGGAGTCTATTTAGCGAAATTAGCATACTAATTACAATCTCAAATGGAAGCCACAGTAGACGAGTACAATGAATAGGGAAACCAGCATCAGTTTTTACAAAAGGAGAATCACGTCTGATCATAAGAGGTGTCAGAGTGGTTTTCATCACATGCTGGGAGGTTAACAAGTATTTTCAGGTTCTGTTACTTCTAACATTGCATACAGTGTCCATAGCAATATAAAGGGTGCCTTTACCAACTTTTCCTGAGTGCACTCTATGGACTTTTAACATATCATGGAACTGTCTGTCTGGGTGACTTTCATTTAATAAGTTATAAAACTTACAATTTACTGCTTTAACAAAACAATCTACAAGCCAAAACAAAGACACACCTCTCTACCCCCAAATAAACCCAAACTACAAAGAATCTTCCAACTACTAATTTTCTAATCTATCTAAAATCAGATTTTCTTTAACACTTTTAAAGAACCATTTCTCCCTCAGAAAATGAGTAAAAAACAACACATTCTTCATGTTTGGGACTTTCTTTCGTATTCAAGTCAAATTATGAAGAAACCAGCATCAGTTTTTAAAATAGGAGAATCACGTCTGATCATAAGAGGTGTCAGAGTTGTTTTCATCACACGCTGGGACGTTAACAATGGTTTTAATGTTATCAGTTACTTCTAACATTGCATACAGTGTCCATAGCAATATAAAGGGTGTCTTTACCAACTTTTCCTGAGGTGCACTCTATGGACCTTTGACATATGGCACTGTCTGTCTGGGTTACTTTCATTTAGTAAGTTATAAAACTTACAATTTACTGCTTAAACAAAACAATCAACAAGCCAAAACAAAGACACACCCCCCTTCCCCCAAATAAACCTACTAACTACAAAAATTTTTCCAAACTACTAATTTTCTAATCAATACTTTGTTTTGTTTGTTTTTGTAAGTGTTTTACCGCGCTCGCAACTGCATAAGGTCACATGAGCGCGGAAGACACATTTAACTTTTTCAGTTGGTAGGAAATTTTGAATTTTGCCGGGGTGGCGGCTGAAGCCTACTCTTATCGATTTTAGACCACCAAGGGATCTTTAACGTGCGCAACTTGCACACAAGCCCTGCGAGATTTTTCGTCCTTGTCCGAGAAGACTAGGTGTAGATCTTTCCTACCAGAAGATCAGGGGTGTGGCTGAAAGACAGCAGTAAGAAGCCAAGGAGTAGCAGTAGAAAGGCTGAAGAAAGAATCAGAAGCCCAGAGGAGGGGGAGGCAAAGGAGATGAGGGAGTGGGGGCAGAAAGAGGAGACGAAAGCAGACGTCAGAACATTGCTAGAGAGCAGGAAAGGAGGAGAAATGAAACAAATTTAGAGAAGAAAATGTTTCCGTCACTACCCGGATTTGAACCCGGGACCTTTGAATGAGAGGCCAACACCTTAACCTCTAGGCCACGAGAGCCCCCAATCAATACTTTTTTAAACAATTTCGCACTAGAAATATAACATGTAAAATCCAATACTTTCTACTTTTTTCATGTTTTGGACTGTCTTTAGTATTCAAGTAAAAGCCAGCATCAGTTTTTACAAAAGGAGAATCACGTCTGATCATAAGAGGTGTCAGAGTGGTTTTCATCACATGCTGGGAGGTTAACAAGTATTTTCAGGTTCTGTTACTTCTAACATTTCAGGCAGTGTCCATAGCAATAGAAAGGGTGCCTTTACCAACTTTTCACATATGGCACTGTCTGTCTGGCTTATTTTCATTTAATATAACATTTAATATAAGTTATAAAACTTACAATTTACTGCTTAAACAAAACAATCAACAAGCCAAAACAAAGAATCTTCCACCCACCTAAATGTCTAATCAATCTAACTTCAGGTTATTCCACTTCCCACTAGAAATATAATGTGTAAAAACCAACACTTTCTTCATGTTTGGGAATTTCTTTAGTATTCAAGTACAATTATGAAGAAACCAGCATCAGTTTTTAAAATAGGAGAATCACGTCTGATCATAAGAGGTGTCAGAGTTGTTTTCATCACACGCTGGGACGTTAACAATGGTTTTAACATTATCAGTTACTTCTAACATTGCATGCAGTGTCCATATAAGTATCAAGTGGTCTTTTCCAAATTCTACTGAGGGCACACAATGGACTTCAACCAGAATGATACAGAATGAGTTCATCTAAGATTTTTTAAACCGGTATTTATCATTAAAGCAAAGAAACCTACAAACCAACACAAAGCAGCTCCCAGCCAAACTACAATGAATTTTCAAACTAACTTGCTAATCTATCTGAAAATCAGTCTTTCTTTGACACTCTTTTTAAGCCTCTCCTTTCACTGGAAGTGCTGTTAGTTTTAGTTTTATTTTTAGTAGAGGTTTTACGGCGCTCGCAAGAAATGCTTGTAAAAATGATAACTTTTTTCAAGGGAAGAGCATCGACATTTTGTTGGACTTTCTCTTGTACTCAAGAGAACTAACTAAAGGGAAATTAGAAAGAAACCAGCATCAGTTTTTACAATAGGAGAATCACGTCTGATCATAAGAGGTGTCAGAGTGGTTTTCATCACACGCTGGGACATTGATAAACTGTTCTCTCAATTCTTATAATATTAACAGTAATTTTTAACATTGCATTCAGAATTCATGTGAAGTGTGCTGACAAAATGAGAATATTGGCCCAAAATTTGTAGATTTTAAATTGATGCCATATTCTTTCAGTACAATATTCTTTCATACATATAAATTGTAAAAACTTCACTCATAAGCGTGCATATCTATTTCCATGGAGCTCAAATCTGAGAAGTAACTCATTTTGTCAGCACACTTCATATATAAGTATCTAGCGTTTTGTTCCAAATTGTCCTGAGGGCCACACTATTGACTATAACACATTATGGCATTGTCTGGGGTTCGTCTCATTAAATAAAAGTTTTCCATTTACTGTGGAAACAAAACAATCGACAAACCAACACAAAGTCATCTCCCCCTCCTCAACCCCTACCAATCAATCCGAACTAAAATGAATTTCCAAACTATTAATTTTGTATTTCATCTAAAAATAAGTTTTCTTCAACACCTTTTAAAAACTTCTCTTCTCACTTGAAGTAGTTGTAAAAACAATTATTTTGTTCAAGAACAGGGAAAGGGTGTTGATGTTTTGGACTTTCTTTTGCATTCAAACGTACTACAGAAAAATCATTTTAAAAAACCAGCATCAGTTTTTACAATAGGAGAATCACGTCTGATCATAAGAGGTGTCAGAGTTGTTTTCATCACCTGCTGGGTGGTCTACAACGGAACCCTACGACCCTGTTGTTTCTTGCCTGTGCCTTGTTCATGTTTTTCAAATATAGGGTTGTTGTTATCGATCCAGGCAAATGCATTGTTAAAAAATAGTCGTTATATAACTGCCAACTTTTCAAAACCAAATAATAAGACTTTTTACCAATGTGGCGGACCAAGACGGTGGGCACTGGCTGAGTAACAACCCCTCCCCAAACACATTTTACTGCTTTCAATAAATTCACACTATTCAAAGTAGACCTGCAGTACAAGATTTCTCTCGAACACACTTGTCACACTTGTGGACTTGTTCTCATTATTATTCGCAAATCCATTCTTCAATGTTTATGCACAGCGGGGTGCGTTAAAAATAAGTGAGAGTAGACATCTTCAGCCACCATATGAAGAATTAGGAAGAAGAAAGAAACAGTCAAAGTGAGATGCTTCTCATACGGATCTTGTTTTATAAATTCTGAATTTATCTACTTTCCTCTCAAAGATGTACTTCATTCATCAAACAAATGTGCAGAAACCATGACGCTCAACGGACTATAATTGAATAACACTCCAGCATCAGTTCTTAGAGTAGGAGAATCACGTCTGATCATAAGAGGTGTCAGAGTTGTTTTCATCATATGCCGAGTGGTCTACAACTGTCCTCAGGGGCTCAATTACTTCAACACGACAAGGCCAACTTTTTTTTTAAAATAGAGGTTTTATGGAGCTCGCAACTGCATAAGGTCATATGAGCGCCAGAAGATTAGAGGTGTTACAAGAGACTAACAAACATAAAAAAGAGGAAGGGGAGATAAGTACGATAGATGTTTGATAGAAAAAAAGAGAAGTAAACCACACCACAGCACCCGCCAACCACCCACAAGGCCACCTTTGAGTGAACTGTTCCAGGAACCAACAAATCCAGATTAAGAGTAAAATGTTTTTAAAATTTGAGGTAAAATCTCCTTCTTAAATTAACAAAAGGGTCAACAAGCACACCGACACAACACAAACGAGTCGCACATCCAGGCAGCCCCCCAACACCCACCTGCATGTCTGGTGGGATCGACTCGAGCGCCTTCTGTATGACCCGGCATCCGTACATCTGCAGGGCCAGGGGCAGCACCTGTCCCCTCACGCGCTGGGCCAGCGTCTGCTTCTGGTCGGGGGAGCCGAACTCGAAAAACTTCTGGATGACGTAGTTGCCGAACACGTCCGTCATCAAGGAGTACGCGGAAGACAAGATCTCTCCAAACACCATGGCCTTCTCCTGGGGGCTGGCTCGCTCCAACTTCTGCTGGATGAACCTGAACAACACACACACACACAAAGAATTAGGTCAAGTTTATTAGCTGGAGAGCATTCCTGCACTCAACTAGATTATTTTTATAAAAGTTTTTTAAGGCACTTGCAACACAATTAGGTCATGTAAGCGCCAAAGATTAAAGGTGTAAGAAGAAAGTGACCAACCAAAAAAAAAGGAAATGGAAAGATCACAACGATGTATGTTGATTAGGTAAGAATGAGCAAACCACACCAGAGCACCCGCCAACCAGCCACTCCTGGAGTCTGCACTATGCACTATCTCACAAACAGAAACACCTCAATCAGCCATGTAGTCCACACAACACACATGCAGAAACATGTGTGTGTGTGTGTGTGTTTGTTTTATTACACAAAATTCCGACCTGTATCTATAACTTTGTGAACTTTTTGTGACACAAAGACCCTTATATAAAACACCAGCATCAGAGACTAGCAAGTAAAATCACATGGACTCATACGAGGTGTCAGATGGGTTCTCATCATGTGCTGGACAATGCTACATCATCGTTAAGATCATATTCTAAAGTATTAAAGACTAAAAAAGATGTTATGTTGGAAATGCCAGATCTTTTCATCTCCTCACAATACTGGCTCCCTTGAACTCACAGGACAATAAGATTTTGATAGGAAAGAGGAAAGAAGGAGCAAACAACACCAGAGCACCTGCCAACCACCCATGTTATTACTTTGAATTTACTCAATATAAATAATAAAAATAATGGGAACTTCCTTATAACCCCAACAGTTATGTCATGACGCAATGGAATCAGACGCTCGCCAGTTTTTGGGCATACAGAGTTATTGATATTATCTTGAATTTTAATCCTACATCTTGCTTTCGTGAAAAAAAAAAATCCCCATCTATCTTGAATAGACGAGATATTTGCAATTGAAGGGTAGGGGGTCATCTTGTGTCCGAGGTAAAATTAAAAAGAAAATAACCGCCAAAGTTCACAGACTTTCTTTACGCCATTGATAAACGTTTTTCAGCAAAATCTACACAGAAATGTATCTTAAATAGACATTGTTGAGAGAAAAATATAAAAATCAATAAAAACTGTCCATCAGGCTGAAAAAGGCTGATGACTTATTTCATTATTTCGAGGAACACCAAATTTCCCCAAGGATGCAACACATACAGATTGCAAAGCGCATAGAGCTTGCTGTTGAGGAGCAGGTCTTGACGTTATGCAAATGCTACTTATTTTCATCATTACGAGGGAGATTAACGCTATGCAAATGCTACTAATATCATCATCATTACCAGGGAGATTAACGCTATGCAAATGCTACTAATATCTTCATCATTACCAGGGAGATTAACGCTATGCAAATGCTACTAATTATTATCATCATCATTACCAGGGAGATTAACGCTATGCAAATGCTACTAATATCATCATCATTACCAGGGAGATTAACGCTATGCAAATGCTACTAATTATTATCATCATCATTACCGGGGAGATTAACGCTATGTAAATACTACTAATCATTATCATCATCATTACCAGGGAGATTAGTCGTCCTACCTGGAGCCGTGCTGATCCTGAGAGAACTCCACCACGTGGTTGACCAGCTCCTTCAGAGACAGATTCGGGATGCGGTTGTTGCGGAAGTCCTCCAGTAACCGGCTGCGTCCGGTCACCTCTTTGGACAAGCTGGCGCTGCAACAAGACCACAGACAAGACCCAAACTGATCAAACTGTTCCACTTTTCTTTTTAGTAAGAGTGTTCAGTTTTAGTAAGAGTTTTACGGCACTTGCAACACAATAACGTCATAAAAGTGCCGAAGATTAGAGGTGTTACAAGAGAGAACCAAAAAAGAAGGGGCAGATAAAGACGATAGACTTTGATAGGAAAGACGAAGCAAACCACACCAGAACACCCGCCAACCACCCACAATAAGAGTCTTACCATACTTTCAACATAATACGGTCAAATAAAATTTTGAAGTTTTATGAAAGGAGTAGTAAAGATGAAAAATAGAAGGAAGAAAGATAAGAACGATAAAAGTTAGACAGGAAAGAAAAGGGAAAGCAGACCACCACCCTACTACATCTACAAGCATTTGCTACACTCATCGGGTTACATCAATGTTCCCAGATTCTTAATCCCAATTTCGACCACAACTACAATAAATTCCACGAAAAGCTCTTAGAAATATGCCACAATCACATTCCAAAAACAAAAACATAACCCCGGAGGAACAAGATCTGGTTCTCTTGGGAATGTGAGGATGCAGTAAAGAAAAAGAAGGCAGCGTATCGAAAAGCCGTCAACAACACCACCATAGAAAACAAGATCAATTATTTAAAGGCTCGAGCTGTGGCACGTAGATGCCTCAGGGAGAGCAAAAGACAATCATTCCAAAAATACATCTCCAAAATCAACAGCCAGAAACCACTCAACCAAGTTTTCAAAATTGCTTAATTCTGTGAACAAGACCTGAGCATCAATAATTCATTTATAGAGTGTGCATAAAAGTTATCAAAAAACCCACATTACGTTCAGATCTCCCTTACCTTCTGGAGGTCATTGTGCGACTGGGGAAGAAAGTGTTCCCAAGAAGCCCATTGGCCGCCGAGACCAGGCTGGCATTGCGGTACTTAGCCGTCTCAGCTCCCGGGGCAGCTGAGTAAGGACGACCCCCGACATTCAGACCTGAATCAGGCCACAATAAAAAAAACGTGTCACGTCGTCATACTAGCCAAGAGCCCATAACCATATGCCACCATTCTAAGCATCTAAAATACAACAAAATCTCATTGGAGTTTAAAAAAAAAAAAAAAGCAATCACACATCAATTCAATAACAAGTCATTTAGAACAGGGACAGAGAGGAAGACAGGACCGACAGAAGCAAGAGAGCGGAAATCTACTTAAATCACTTTGTATTGTATTTCTACAGTAGCTACTTTGTTTGACAGGTTTTTGACACATTCAAAGAGGTCAGAGGGCGAGATGGGGAAGCTGTTATGTGAACATGCAATAATAATAAAAATTATTATTATTGTTCATATCATTATTATCATTACTACTATTATCCTTATCATCATTATTCTTATCATAATTACCATCAACATTAATATTATTATTATATTATTATCACTATTATCATCATAATGGTTACAAAAGATTGCATTTGCATAGCGAGACATACCGAGAGAAAGGTTTGAGGAGGATCCTGAGAGCGAGGGTGGCGGGGTCATCGAGGAGTTTCCCATCATGCCCGACATGCTGGCCCCCGGAGAGCTGGCCATGCCCGGCAGCGGTGCGTAGTAGCCGCCCATGGCGGGTAACTGCTGCTGCCGCTTCATCTCCAGGGACTCGCGCCTCCGGCCTGTACAGAAGGGGGATACAAAAAACAAGGACACAAATGAAGGAGCAAAATTTTCAAAAATGAGTTCGTTTAGTTTTGGGAAGAGTATTACGGCACTTGCAACACAAAAAGTCATAGAAGTGCCGAAGAACAGATGTGTTAGTAAGCGTTTTACAGCACTTGCAACACAATAAGGTAATATAAGTGCTGAAGAATAGATGTGCTATAAGAGAGCAACATAAAAGAAGGAGGAGGAGAGATAAGGACGATAGATGTTTCATAGAAAAAGGAGGAGCAAACCACACCAGAGTACCGCCAACCACCCAGTAAGAACTTTTATCGAACGGAATTACCAGCTGTAAATCCTCACTAAAGCCCTAAAAGACCAGACTCGTCTATCAACAATGTCTGTAACTAATAAATGATCAATTGTGACAAAACACACACATTTCAGCGCTACAAGTGAGGTAGTGTCAGAAAGAGCAGATGTCATAAAGAATTCTTCAACACCAAGTCTGTGCATCCCGTAACATTAAAAACATTTTCAGGAGGGCATCTGAGTTTATGCGAACAAAAATCTCCCATTCTTCCTAAATTCAGGTCTGCTGAGATAATAGTATAGATTGTGAAGCGTATAGGACTTGCTGTTGAGTGGAGACTTGCGCTATACAAATGCTATCTATTATTATTATTATTATTATTATTAATTCAAATAACTGTAGCAACTTATATCACTCTTTCTTTTTTTGTTACAGTAGAGGTTTTACAGTGCTCGCAACTACACAAGGTCATATGAGCCCCATATCCCTCTTTGCAAAAAGTACGAAATAGTAGTTGCCCGATGACTCGTACCAATAGTTCCAGGGGCGCTAGACCCGAGCCCTGTGAGTCCGTTGCTGGCAAAGCCGTTCTGTTGTGGGGCGGTGAGACCCAGGTTGGTGGAGATGGGGGTGAACAGGCTGGTGGTCACCTGGGTGTAGCCCAGACTGCTGGTCGGAGAGTAGCCAGCTACACCAGGAATAGGGGGGACGGACAGAGATACACAATATTATGTTTGCTTTCGTGTGCACTTGCAACACAATAAGGTCACGGAAGTGCCGAAGGTTACAAGAGAGTAACAAACACAAAAAAGAAGGATGATAGATGTTTGACAGGAAAGAAGGAGCAGACCACACCAGAGACCCACCAACCACCCACACACAATATGTAGTGGAGGTTAGTTCTTTGTGCATGAAGAGAAAGACATCAACACAATATAGATCAATTTTGTCAAGATGGGGGGGGGGGGGGGACCAGACAGACAACTATAAGAAGCAAGAACACACGAGAAGAAAATTTAAAAAAGTAGGACCTACCAATGGCATCCTACCACCACCACCACCCAGAGAACACTTGGGTGAGAGGAGATCTTTCTTTCACTGTATTCCCCACAACCATCAAGCCTGTCACCACCACCCACAAGTCCACATCTAACATACCACAGTGACCACTAGCAGCATACTGTGGCTCAGCGTTGCCAACAAGGTCTACTCAACAAGTCTTTAATTCTTGTGGATATCTACATAACATTATGTATTGCAATTTCTATGGTAACAACTATTCAGTGTACGTATCTTGAAGAAGGGTTGTGCCAAACAGGAACCCCCCCCCCCCCCCCCCCTATATATTTCTTGAATAGTTTTTTTATTCTAATCCATTCACAGCACAAATGTGTTTTCTAAATATTTTTGCAAAGAGAAAAAGTGATACATTAGCATTAAACTTGTAGTCATGACATTGAAGATTCGAGATCAGCATCATCTTGAGCTTTACACGGCACTTAAAGTACAAGAGTCAATGTCTCTGCCTCTTAGTGCAGCCACAGCTATGAGAGAGCTGTGCTACGTGGTAAAACAGACGTTACTGTCCACAGTGTAAACGATGGAGGCTAGGATGAGGACACTAGTCCAAAGCTGGACTGTGGGAAAGTGGTACAAATTCTATAACACACAGTCAACGGCCCTTTATCAGTTTTATGACAGGTGTTGCAAACATTTTACAAGGTTACAGACGATTTACTCCCACCATCATATCCCCCCCTCAAAATAAACTTTTAACGGTCAGCTAAAAAAAAGTAGCAGTCATATCATCCTACATTATAACATCAAAGTGCAACAAGAAAACCAATACACTGTTCCTACAAAATGTTTGTTCTTTGAGTAAAGAGAAGCACATGTGCTGAGAAAAAGTAAGACAGACAGACAGAGAGAACGTAAGACAGAGAGAACGTAAAGAAGTAGGACCTACGAGAGGCACCCTTACAATATGTGCAACTTCCATCCTATTACAAACACACATCCAAAACAGCTGCCAGAAAAATGGAAGACAAATAACAGCAGGAAAAACTGGAAATATAAACTATCTGCCTTCTGGCCAGAAGAATCTACAGCAAATTTCACCTAAGCTTTAAAAACGAGTCAATGTCTCTGCCTCTTAGTGCAGCCACAGCTATGAGAGAGCTGTGCTACGTGGTAAAACAGACCTTACTGTCCACAGTGTAAACGATGGAGGCTAGGAAAAGGACACTAGTCCAAAGCTGGATTGTGGGGAAGGGGTACAAATTTGAAAACACACGGCCAATGGTCCTATTTCAACAAACCCTCCCCTCATTCCTAACTCCGACACCACTTCCCCCCATAAAACAAAATTAACACAAAACGAAGAGAAAGCAATTTTCAGGGGTAAAAAAGAAAAACAAAGGTCATATCAGAAACAAAAATATACCGATTATCTTATCCTTTATCATTAAAAGACAACTTCCAAGGTGCAACAAGAAAAAAAGGAAATATAAACTATCTGAGTTGTGGCCAGAAGAATCTACAGCGAATTACACCTAAGCTCTAGAAAAGAAGACAAACCACATGAGTCAATGTCTCTGCCTCTTAGTGCAGCCACAGCTATGAGAGAGCTGTGCTACGTGGTAAAACAGACGTTACTGTCCACAGTGTAAACGATGGAGGCTAGGATGAGGACACTAGTCCAAAGCTGGACTGTGGGGAAGTGGTACAAATTCTATAGCCTAAGCACACAGCCAACAGTCCTTTACCAGTTTTATGGCAGCTGTAGTGGTACAAATTCTATAGCACACAGCAAACAGTCTTTTATCAGTTTTATGACAATTGTTACAAACATTTTACAAGGATACAGATGACTGACCTCCACCACCCACCCCCGACATCATATCACCCTCAAAATAAATTTTAAAAGTTATCTCAGAAAAAGTAAAGATAAACTTATCCTACATTATAACATCTTTCAAAGTGCAATAAGAAAATCAACACACTATTCCTACAAAATGTGGAACGAACACACCCACACCCACAAACAGACAAATCCCAAATAGCTGCCAAAAATGGAAGACAAATAAGTAGGGAAAAAATGGAAACTGTCCGAGTTCTGGCCAGAAGAATCTACAGCAAATTTCACCTAAGCTTTAAAAAAGAAGACAAACCACATGAGTCAATGTCTCTGCCTCTTAGTGCAGCCACAGCTATGAGAGAGCTGTGCTACGTGGTAAAACAGACGTTACTGTCCACAGTGTAAACGATGGAGGCTAGGATGAGGACACTAGTCCAAAGCTGGACTGTGGGGGCTCATTATAAATTTCAAAACATTTAGAATTTCCGAACAGACTTTAGATTAAGGTCTGAGAAGCATATAGACACAATAATGGTCATTTTGTGCTGAGAAAAAGTAAAACTGGCAAACTTTAAAAAATCCAGACTTAAATAACAGACATTCGAGCTCACTATGGCGCCCTCCAACCACCCTCTAAATTGAAAATATTCCTACAGCTCTGCCAAGCAAAGCCTGGTAGCCTGGCTTACCTAGAGCCGAGTTTTGTCCGGAGGACGGAGTATTGCTGGCCACGGGCGGCGTCTGTTGACCTTGTGTGTTGAGGAGACGGAGGGGGTTGTTCGCAGCTGCTGCAGCCGCCGCCAGCTGGTTGGAGCCACCTGAGGGGAGATGATAAGTTTTAGTACGTGTTTTACGGCACTTGCAATACAATCAATAAGGTCATATAAGTAACGAAGATTAGAGGTGTTACAAGAGAGTAACAAACACAACAAAGAAGGAGGGGAGATAATCACGATAGACGATTGATAGGAAAGAAGAAGCAAACCATACAAGAGCACCCGCCAACCACCCACAAGGAGATGATGGAACACATAGCTCTACCTCAAGGGTGGACGAGAGAGATTTACATCCGACATAATACTCATGCTTTTATTTTTGTTTGAGGAGAGATTCAAGATTCAAAATGATCTATTGATTTGAAAGGCCTTTGGCCCATATTTTGTTTGAGGACAGAGAAGCACATCGAATCAAAAACGGTCATTTAGCGCTGGAATGAAAGTAAGACATACAAACAGAAACAACAGAGAAAGTAGAGAGGTAGGACCTACCAGTGGTGCCCTCCAACCTCCTGTTAATAGTCATGAAAGTAAGACGGCAAGACATCAGAAAAGGAAAGAAATGCAGGCCCTGGACTTAATTTCTAAAGACACATTCACAAGGAACAAGCTAAAGTGGACAGATGGATAGTAAGTAATTAGTTTGGTTAGAGAAAAGAGAAGCATTGACATGAAGATGAGGAAACAAAACAGACAAACAAAGACCCAGAAGTATAGTAGAGAATTTTCCGTTAAAAAAACTCCATTCATCCACCCACATTGTGCTATAAATTTTTTCAACAACATACAATCAACAAAGTACATGTAATGCAGCACATCTATGCAGTAGCAGTAATATTAAAAATAGAACCAGCCATTCTACTGCGCTAACAAACTGAGTTTAAAAATCCAACCAACAGCATCAAAAAAAAATTCATGAATACATAAAAATCGAAAGCTTCAAGAAAGTGAGTGTATGCTTTCAGGTAGTGAGTGTACAAAACTTTAAAAAACAAAAAAACAAACAAACCTTAACTCAGCCTTCAAAAGTATTTATTGAATAAAAAAAAGAGAAAAAAGAAAAAAGAGAAAAAAGAAAAAAGAGAAAAAAGAAAAAAAAGAAAAAGAAAAAAGAAAAAAAAGAAAAAAGAAAAAAAAAGAAAACCCTTTACTTTGCACCCACAAGAGGTCAATGAATAAGAAAAACGCCAAAGCGACATCCGGAAGCATTCTGTGATTTATTTTTAAAATATTCAAAGACATCATCCAGCAAAAACCAGTGGATCTCTTTTTTAACCCATGGCACCCAGAAGAAATGATGACTTTGTTTTGAAAGAAACACCAGGAAGAAATAATGACTGTTTTGAAGAAAAAAAAACGTGGATCCTAGATGAAGCAAGTGAACAAAGAGCACACACAACAACCCCCCCTAAACAACAGGCAGCCCTCCCCTCCTCTCCCCCGAGAAGCACAAGTAAAGCGAGTGAGCCAGCCAGCCAGGAAAAGAGAAAAAAGTTGTCAAACCTTCCCCACCTTGCTGTCCGGCACCGGCGTTGACCAGGAGCGGTGCGGGGGACACCAGGCGCACCTGCGGGCCCAGCAGACGCGGGTTCACGATCTGACCATTCTGGTCAATGTAGGCCGGCATCAGCTGGTACCCTGGGTCTGAACACACACACAAACAGAATAATAATAGGTCAAACGTAATAATAGGTCAAGGATAATGAATAATGATAGGTCAAACATAGTTTAAGTAAGAGTTTTATGGCACTTGCAACACAATAAGGTCATAAAAGTGCAGAAGATCAGGTGTTACAAGAGAGTAACAAACACAAAAAAGGAGGAGAGATCAGGACGATAGATGTTTGACAGGAAAGATGGAGCAAACCACACCAGAGCACCCGCCAACCACCCAGTAATGATAGGTCAAATATAATGATAGGTCAAACAAAAAATAGGTCGTCAGTCAGTACATGGAACTGAAAAAAACTTCAATGTAACCACATGATGGTTTCCGAATGTACACATGAAAAATTGTGAGTGTAAGTGTGGTATATTATTATGTGTGTGCAAACTTCCAGGGGGGAAGGTGTGTGTGTGTGAATAGGGGGAGTAAGTATGCAACTGTCAGAAAATACGGATTTTCGTAATATTACGGAAGATTGAAAGCAGTGTTATAATATGTGTGTGGTTGTATTTATATGTGCGTGTATCTGCATATCATTGTAATTGTGAGAACCCTAGCACACGTGTACTCACTGGGAGTCTGCATGGCCTGTGTTTAGCTTTAGTAAAAGTTTTACAGAAATCAGACATATGTGTTTGGTGTGTGTTTAAATGTGTGTGTATGAGCGTATCAGTATACTTGTGAGAACCCTAGCACACATGTACTCACTGGGAGTCTGAGCAGCGTGTGTGTATATGTGTGTGTGAGTGTGTGTGTGTATGTGCGTGTGTGCATGTGTTGAATGTACTCACTGGGCGTCTGCATGGCCTGCGAGGGCATCTGGCTGGCCGAGGAGCCAATGATGTCGCTGCCCTGGGACGGGGAGCCCGCCTGGCCGCGCAGCATCTGTTGCTGCTGCTGCTGCTGCTGTTGCTGCTGCAGCGCCTGTGGGTTCTGCTGGCCTTGCATGAGGTTGGGGAGGTTGGCCGTGGGGAACATCATGGGGATCTGGTAGTACTGATGCATCATGGAGGGACCTGCACACAGAGAAAACATATTGCAAGTCTTAGAGGCATCCCTCATAGGCATAGCACGGCAAAATTGTCAACGTAAACAGGAGGAACAACCTTCCTAAATACAGAAAATTTACGGAGCAAAAAATACTTCGTAGCCTGATGCTACCAAAGAATAAATAATAATACAATCAATATAAGATCATCTTTGACAGCATTATATTTCCACATTGACATTATGCTGAAAAACATATTTGCAGAAAAATTAATAATAGACACATGCGGCCAGTCCTACAGATGTGGCCTTCATTTATAACAGGCTACGGTTGACTAATAAAAAAATTGTGAACCGACAAGAATAATCACACGTGAAGTAAAAAGACATACCATTCATAATTTTTTCGAAGTTACTTCTACATAAGCACCAAAAAAAATCACTAGGGGAGACAAATCTGCCTCAAAAGGCCACACCGCAAAGCCACACCCAGGTACAGAGGAAAGAGTCTAGGATTAGGACAAGAAGAGGTATGAACAATTCTGTATTTCATTTCCCACAAGACAGGGGGACACCCCCCTCCCCCAAATCCTGCCCTACCCTAAGCTGTGATAATGATCAAGATCAAGCAACCACACAAGCCCTTGGAATAAAAAAAACTGTGCAGAGATACCAAACAGTCACAAAAAGGCTCTTGTTGGCAGGTTAAAATATTAAATGAAGCTTCTATTTTAAGGTCTGTGTTAGAAACTATGAATACAAAAAAAAGTATGTCCTGAGACAAAGCCTTTGTACACATTTCGAATTTATTAATAATTCCAACTGCGTTCGGAAACAATTCTGATGGACGTCTCAGTTCATCATAACTGAATGTTGAAATGGTGCCAGTAGGTAGGCAGGTAGGCTTTCAAACCAGGCTACAAAAACAAAACTAGACTTAAAATAATGCCAGCAGCTAGGCTTTCAAGCAATGTTTTCTATATTTTAAAAAACAACACCACCCCCCCCCCCCCCCCCAATAACTAAGGTTAATAAGATGGTACCAGTAAGTACCCTGTCTTATTGTGTGAGCGTGTGTGTCTGTGTGTGTGTGCATGCGTTTGAGTGTGTGTGCGTAGGGGGGAGGGAAGATAGTAAGGGCTGAGATTGCGCCAGCAGTTTTCATTCAAACCACGTTACCCAGCAACTGCGACTGGCCTTCCTCCTCCTCCTCCGGCCCTGACAACATGGAGCAGAAGCGATTGAAGTCAAATGAGGAAGAGTCCTCCTCCGGGACAGGGGTGGAAGGCATGACCTTTGACCTGACGATACTTGGGTCGTACAATGACATCTCCTCCTGCCCCCATGGGTCGGAGACGGGCCGGCTGTCGGAGGACCGCATCCACACCTGCACGGGCTCCATCAGACCAGCGCTCACCGCCGCCTCCAGACCCATCACAGACGGCGACGGTTTCACCGGGGAGGACGTGCGGCCCCAAGGACCTACCGCCGAGCTATTCTCTTTGTCAATGTTGAGGTCAAGGCTAGTGCCCCTGGGGGCTACCAAACTACTAGGCAGGTACCCTGCTGCGGCGGACAAGTCTGAGTCGATCTCCACGTCCTGCACAGGGGAGAAGAGGAAGGGGCGGGAGTGGAGAAAGTCGTGCTGGGACGCTGTCTCCGGTACGGGCAGCGCACTGGTCAACAAATCACCAGCACCGTCTCCGAGGTGACTCTGAGGCTGCAGGTTGAAAGGAGACACTGTTTCTGTCGGGTGGGCAGTGCTAATCTCTAACTGACCATCACCCGCACCAGCTTGTTTGCATTCTGGCTGTGGTGGTACTCCTCCCTTCGCCTGCAGCGAGGCCACACCGTCCGTATACCCTCCTACTTGTTGACCAAGTTCAAACTGAGAAGATTTTTTTCCCACACAGACGGCACCAACACCATCACCACTGGCAGACTGACTGCTCTGCTGCTGCAGCACCTCCCCAACCTGCAAGTCCTGCGAGACGGTTGTGACCGGGGCGTTGGCCGAGCTGATCAAATCCACGCTGCTGTCTCCACCATTAAGACTAAGCCCGCTGGAGTTCTTCTTCGCTTGTGTCCCCTGCCGCCCGTCTCCCTCCTGTCCCTGAGACTCCTGCTTGAGAAGAGAGGAGAGCAGCTCCCACATCTTCTGCTGCCGCTCCTCCGGCTCCTTCTTGACGCGGTCCAGGAAGCGGCTGATGTGGTAGAGCGAGTCCCGCACCGACAGCCCGCCCGATTGTGTCGAGGCTGTGGAGGACGACTCGTGGGAACCGCCAGAACTGGAGGCTTCCTCCGAGCTGGACAACAACAACGCTTGGCCCCCTGGCTCTCTCCTGTCTCTGCCTTGATTTCCACTACTCTCACCTCCATCAACACCATCTTGGTCCGTCTGTGGTACAACTTGCACACCTTTCTGAACAGTTTCAGTCTTCTCGAGCCCAACCCCCTTTCCTTCCAAAAGACCAGTTGAGGACTGCACGAGTTCATCTAGCAAGTGTGGGCAGACTGAGGATTGGGACACCTCTCCCAGCACCTGGTCCCCTCCTGCTACTGTCTGCCCTCGTGCCCCCAGCTCCCCAGCCAGCTGTGAGTCTGCTTCTGTCGGTGTGCACACCTCACCAGAGCTTTGCTCACTCCCAGGTTCAGCGCTCCCTCCGCTATTTCCTCTCTCTAGGCGCACAGTGTCCTCATCACTCCCCTCTCTGCTGCCACTCTCACCGCTCTGCACACCACACGACAACCCTCCGCCCTCAGACTCCGCCTCATCCCATTTTTTGCAGACCTTGTTGGACAAGCCCCCTGTGTGCCCTGTGACCAGGTCTCCCTCTCCACACACAGGCCCGTCTCCATAGAAAACATCGCTGTTCCCAACTTTCTGAATTTGGCAAAACCCGACGTAGACGTCCTTCCTTTCTCCACCTGGTTTTTCCAAGCAAGAAGGGGACACCGTTTGCCTTGGACTTTTCTCCAAACTGACACAGGGTGTGCCGTTACCATAAGGAGGCAGTTCATCTTGCGTCTGTTGCCCCATCAGTGAGTGGACTACTCCACCACAACTGACTGCGGTAGCAGACGTGAAACCCATAGCGGCCAGTGCCGGGGACATATCTTGTGAAGGGCGTTGCTCGGTGACAAGTTGTACGTGTAGGTCATCAGGTCGCAGCTCCACCTGGACAGCCTTCTCCACAGTGACAGGACCCGCAGTCTTTTCACTGACCTCCACATTTATTACGTCTGTTCGACCATCACCACAGAGTGTAGATAGTTCCACTTCTTTTTCACACAAACCGGTGTTTTGACAATAGCAGGCTACCTTGTTGGCACATGGTCCTGTCTCTAGTTTACCGTCTCTCCCAATAGTCTGACCATGACAGTCAAGACATCTATTGCATGTCGTGGAGCTCCCAGAACTACTGTCTGTCTTTTCTTCCAAAGTAGAACTTCCTTCTGACGAGGACAAAACTTTCCCCTTCCCAAAGTCTGTACTCCCCAAAACATCTGAGCCATCAGCGGACTCGGTGCTGGACTTATCTGTGTTTTTTTTGTTCCAGGCACCAGAGTCTGCCAGACAGGACGCCGATATTCTTCTCAGCCTCGCCAGGATCTCCGCAGAACTCATCTCTTCCGAAGACGACAACGACAATTCTTTCAATCCGCCGGCATTATCTACAGCCCCTGGGCTCCCACCTGGGATGTTGTTCTCCGTCTGCTCCTGGGGTCTATGTGTCTGGTCCACTGATGGGACTGACGGCAGAGGAGGACTATCTGTCAACGTATCCCTTCCTGGCACCAGTCTCCCCTCTGCGCTATCACTCAAACTCTCCACCACACATCCTCCAGACTCACAGCTCTTTGCACCCACAGTAAGCCCTGCACCACTTTCCAAAACTCTCCCGCATTTCTGAACCTCACAACAAGATGAACCAGGCGCACCACATTCGGAGAGAGTAACCAACTGACTCGCTTCAGCCCGACTCACATTCTGTTTCTCTAGTACACTGTCAGACGAGCCCCCTGCTTCCTCAATCTTCACTTGACAATCCTCAGCTCTCTCCTGCTCCTCCAGCCTTTCCTCCATCAAACAACCACCTTTCTCAGCATCTGCACTGCTGACGTTACCCTGTTCCTCGTTCACCCCACCAGTAGCATCATGCCTAGACGTTAACAACAGTCCTTCCATTTCTCTCCCATCACCACCCGACATTTTAGCGAGTATCTCTCCAGCAATGACACCAAGCTCTTGGACGGATCTGGTCTCTGTGCTCGAATGTTTGTCCATCAAACCATCCTTCACATTTTCATCACCACGACCTTCAGTTTTACACTCCGGCATCAACCGTTCTTCAAAAAAAGCAACAGCTTTCTTCACTGCATCTTTCTCCGTCCCTTCATTCCAAGCATCATTCTTTATGCCTTCATTCTCTAAAGCTTTCTCCATCCCTTCTTTCTCCCCCTCCACCAGAGCCTCCTTGCCAAGCTGTTCTGTCACCACAAGTCCACAGACTACTGCACAATCTCTGTCCCTGTCCCTGCAGCAATCACTCTCCTCACAAGCTCTACCACCCACCTGAACCCCAACACTCAAACAACAGACATTTTCCTTAAGACGTCCACTTTTGCTGGAATCCTTTTCAGCACCGTCCTCCTGACCATCAACTTCGACCACAGGACCGCACCCCTCCTTCATCACATCTCCATCTTTCTCCATTCTGCCCTCCTCTTTTTTAACACTCGAGTCATCCAGAGAGTCACCCAGACTAGAGTCCTCAACCTCAGAAGCAAGAATGTCTACATTTGGAAGCGCACATGTCTCAGTACCCACATTTATTACAGCAGCTTGTTCATTGTCGTCACCCTGACCACCTTCAGCCTCCGGCTTCACAACAACCCCATCATCCACCTCAGTCTCAGCAGAACTACACCCTTCCTTCTCAACAGTTGACAAATTCTTCTCAGCACTATCCTCCTTTTCTTTAGTTGACAAATCCTTCTCAGCACTACCCTCTTGCTTACCAGTTGA